AATCACGGACTTTTTCAAAATCTTTCAACAAAGCAAATGAGATCAAGATGACTGCTAACCGGACTGTATTTTATGTCGATTTGTTCCAATTTGTCTTTTCCTTTCATGTTGTCCTTGGCTTGGGTGCATACAGGTCTTCAAAGGGAGTGTTTGACCCGTGTTCTGCCTCCCTTCATCCAACATAGCTGCCCCCCCCCCCCACACACACACACAGCCAGCACACTTTAGTTTGCAGACAGGCTCATCAAAGGCATCATTTGACCACCATGACTGGAGCCCAGATTCTTTACACAAGGAGCACGGGCGGTCACTTGTCTACTCTGGTACGTTTCTACTCACGGTGCCGAGTGACATATCCAACGGGGTGCAAAAACGTACAGGTATAAGGACAATTATGCTGTGCGGCAACCACATACATTCTTGTAAATTCTGTACTATGATTATGCAGCCACTGCGTTGTACTTTGCAAAAAGTCCCGGGCCACCATTGGATGTATTCCTTTCGGAGTGCGACAATATCCAAGGCTTTACTGCGAACAAAACAAGTTTATCAAACACTCTTTTTGTTGGCTAACAATATTAAAAAAAAAACGTTTGAGGTAGCCACAGCTTCCTAAAATAATCCAAATATAGAGCTGACAAATATCATCAACACGAGACTAAACTTGACTTGCCCCAGCATGAAAATGACTACGCGGCCGTTTTACCCCGAGCGCACAGGCACCTACGTATGAAAATAGGGCCCTGCATGTTGTTAGTTTACTGGTGTTATTTGTCAAGGAGAAAGAAAGAGACAAATTAGAATAATCAAAATAGATGAAAGAACAAAATCAGCATCTGTGTTTATAAACACCACAGGTCACGTGAAATGCCTGCATCTGTGCGTTACTACACTTCCATTTCCAAGACTTTGAGCAAGTAGTTAGGTCCATCCCAACGGCGCACAACACCTGCAGCTGTGTCATTTCCTTCACACTCATCGTGTTCCTGTCTCTCTTGCTGCATGTAGCCTTCCTCTCACCTCTTCCACGCCTCCCATCTGTGCCTCATCTGGTCAGCATTAACAGGGCAGCTGACATGGTAAACTCGAAAAAGTGTGCCAGTGGAAAATTCGACTTGCAATTTCAAGCTGCAAAGACGAAGGCCTGGCCTACAACAACAGTGGCACCTGGCTCGAGTTGAGCAGGTGTGGGGGTGGGGGGGTGGGGGGACTCGTCCCAGAGGGTATCGAGAGATATGAGACGTTCTTAGAAACCAAATGCAGTGAGAGCTACAGTGGGAGGGATGGGAAGGGGGGAGGGGAGGGTCGACCTGTCACTTAGCTTGACGCATTAATCTGTTGACAAGCTCAGCTGCTCCCACAGCTCCAACCTACCCTGCGCTCGAAGCAAATTGGCCATCCTTTCCAGTCCAAAAGTGCTTGACTCAGATCTGCAGGCTTAGCTGTTACCTGAGGCAAGTCAGACCAAGACCTGCCTTCCAGCCTGCCTTTTCTAAATTATAGCCTCCGACTGTCGCTGGTGCCTGGGGCCGTGTGTGTGTGTGTGTGTGTGTGTGCGTGTGTGTGTGTGCGTGTGTGTGTCTGTGTGTGTGTGTGTGTGTGTGTGTGTGTGTCACGCACGTGCACATCTGTGTGTGGAAATGCACCGGCGAACTCATTGCTTTAGTCAGAATCGCACGTTCACTCACCAGCACCCCACGCAGAAATGTACGATTCCAAACTATTGATTCTGAAAGGAAAAAGGTTTTATGTGGGCGCTGTATGTGCGAATATATTGAAATACGCGGCTCTTTAGTTGAGTGTGCAACCGGTTGGAATAGTGATGCAAAACATGTGAAACACCGCATATATTTTTTGGATAACACACCACCCCTGTGATTAATAATTAAAAGGAAATGTCCCAGTAGTCCCTGACACTATTCTCAAGGCCAGTTTTTTTTTTTACAAAGAGCCTTTATTTTCATTTTTGAGACCGCTGTCAGACAACCATTTAATAATAAATAGTATTGCGCTTATATCGATTTCAATGTATGTCCAACTTTATCGTCAGTATTGCACCACAAAATCTGTTGATGCATTTATGATTGTGGTGGATGTTGACAAGCAGCATGAAAATCCGTTTTCATTCTTAAACTAACAATTTATTTGCCAGTTCTGTTCATTCGATTCATTGTCAACTAGTTTCCTGCTTGACCAGCTGTTTTCTTTAAAAAAAAAAAAAAAAAAAACCCTCATCATGAAAAGTCTGTCTCTAACCAATAACATTCGTAAATGTGATCAAACGTTTCGGTTCATTTCATTTGCATTGAGCCGGCATGTACTTCATGGTCGGACAGCAAGATTTTCTGATATATTTCTTTCTGGCTGGTGAGAGGCCTGTCATTACTCTGTCCTGCATAACACATCAAAATGTCACCGTTGGGTATTTCACTTTTGAAAGCGCCATCGCTGGCAACACTTATTTTCTGTTATTTCCAAACTTTTATGTAGGTCATTTTGGAAACGGCAGCAATGACTGCGCGTCTGTGGTTTAGTTGAAAAAGTTTGGATCTTGTTCACAAGGCAAGCAGTGAAAAAAAAAAAACAACTCATTTATACACTGTGAATCTCATCCATATTCAAGTAGTTACTAGAGTGACACATTTGTAGTGTTGTAAAATACGCCTGTCGTGACAATTATGGGAATGACAGCATTCACGTGACTGCATAACCACCTGTAATGTTCACAACAACAACAACACTCAATAGTCTGTGTGCTTACAGTAAGCTCCCATTACTGTTTAACTCTTTGTCCTGATGACTGACAAGCGAAAATGAGCCAGAGTGTTTATCGATTTATACTACGGTTTCTCCTCTCTCTATATTATTAACAACCACTTTTTTTTTTCTTTTGTGCTTTAAAGTGATGTATGCCATGTTGACATCTGCAGTTTGCCGAACATCCGTCCAAACCCGCAAAGCCATGAAAGTGGATTGTTTCCTTTTACAGCTTTTTGTTCAATTGACAGTGTTGCTACGTGGTAAGAGATGGACGTGGAGTGTAAGGTGTAAGGGGGTGGATGTTATTTCTTAGTTATAATAAGAAAAATGAACAACTTGCACAAATTTTGGTTTCCCCATTTAGGTGCAGAGACACACTTGGAGACATTCAAAAGACAGGATGTGACACATCCCAATCAAAGTTGTTTTTTTTTCATGAACACATTACACTGTAATTTATCAGAATGCAATCAGTACTGAAGGGTAAATGTCATTTAAAATCAACAAGGCCTCTGCTTTAACATAAAACAATATTCCATAACGGCTGGAGAAGGTTGACTGGTAGCCAGTAAAATCCATCTAAAATCTTGACATCAATGTTTGGCAGTGAAAACTTCCCACATAAATTCAAAGCGATCTATTTTTCCTTTTTTTTTTCTTCGTTCACAGTAGAACATTTTTGTGCATACATCACAGAAGCCCTGAACACTCCCTGCTTTACAGTATAGTTTGTGCAAAAATAATAAGCATGTTTTTCGAAAATAGGAGTCAGAACAAAAGACCAAATGAACCAAAACTCGCCTGAAAGGCAGAACAGCCTCTTGAAAAGGAAATTCATCACGAAGAAAATAAATCAGCACGAAGATAGAGTCACTCTCCTGAAAGGCAGAACAGCCTCTTGAAAAGGAAATTCTTCAAAAGAATCTTTTTTTTTTCCGATGGTGACATATAACAAAAGCAGGTTTCATTCTCATTTGATATTGATGTTTTAATTTATATTCTTAATTTTTAATGCAACATATTTATTTTTTTGTGTTCAATTTGCGTTAAGAGGAAGACAACTCCTTAAGAATTAAATGTTAGAACGAAGTTACAAAGTAAAAGGACTTTCATTTAATAATCAGTTGTGTTACGTCCTATTTTCAGAGTGTCATCAAAATGATTGTTAGGAAAGTTGAAAAAAGGAACACTTAAACAACACAAGGTAACTCCAAGAGTTCGCTTTATTTTTTTTGAGCAGTTTTATATCAACTCATACGAAATATACTACATTTTCGATGTAACATGCCCAAACACTGCTATCAACGAGCAGGGATCTCAGATCGGAACATACAGTATTCCCTTTGACATGTGCAAGCATTGTCAGCAAATAAATTATTAAAAATCATCCGGTTCACATTTTGACTTTGAGCAAGCGGGGGAGGGGGGCTACAATAAATCAGCACGAAGATAGAGTCACTCTTTTTGCTCTGCAACATGTGGACCCTAGACTTAGCCTTAAAATGGTCAAATAAAAAGTGAAAAGGGAGAGTCTGAGTGAGCAAAACTTAGATTTAAAGAAGAAACCCCTTTTAGTCGGACAATAATCCTTTTTTTTTTCATTTTTAACCACTTAGCAGGAAGGCATCCATCTATCCATCCATCCATCCATCCGTTTTCTTCCGCTAATCCCGTTCAGGATCACCGGTGAGCGGGAGGCGGGGTACACCCTGGACTGGTGGCCAGTCAATCACAAAGCACCCTTCAGCAGGCATGGAACCATATTTGGTAACTTCAAAAACGACCCCCTTGTCACTGTAAAACAATGGAACGCATTGATTTCACCAGACCAATTAGCAAAAGGAAATAAAAGATAACAGCAACTTTTACAAATGAAAATAGAATGATCGATTCAGTGCTGTGTATGACTAAAGAATGTATGAAAAATAAAACATCTTCTGGGATGTAGTAAAAAAAAATATTGTTTAGGATATGAAGACGTTTTTGTGCCAACCTGTTAAAAAACAACAACTTTAGTCACCCTTTAGGATAAAGTCAGAAAAACGACCCCCTTGTCACTGTAAAACAATGGAACGCATTGATTTCACCAGACCAATTAGCAAAAGGAAATAAAAGATAACAGCAACTTTTACAAATGAAAATAGAATGATCGATTCAGTGCTGTGTATGACTAAAGAATGTATGAAAAATAAAACATCTTCTGGGATGTAGTAAAAAAAATATATTGTTTAGGATATGAAGACGTTTTTGTGCCAACCTGTTAAAAAAACAACAACAACTTTAGTCACCCTTTAGCATAAAGTCATCAAACTACGAGAATAAATTTGTAAACATGAAAATGAAGTAAAAAAATATTTTGAAAACATCAGACGGGAGAGATGGTTGGGAGTAAGAAATCGGGCAAAAAGAGATGTCAAACACAAAAGGTTTGAGCGTGCCGTCACTTCTCCTTGAGGTCTCGTGTGTTTGATGTAGTGAGCAGTGCCCACATGTCCAGCCTCTCACTGCCAGGAAATTGCAACTTCGTCCCCCCAGAGCCCCTCTGACTGCTGGGAGAAACATCGTTTGATGTTCTAAAGAAGGCTTTCCAATGTAAGTTGGCCTTTCATTCACTCTTTCCTCTTTTTGTCTATGATTCAGCCAAACGCTGGCAAATGTTTTGTGAATTTCCCTTATGGATATATCTATCCAGCTCGCTACTTAGCTAGCAAGCTAGATAGACAAGATAAGAAAACCTTTATTTGTCTCACGATGGAGAAATTCCCAATTTACAGCAGCAAAATTATGAAAGGGAGAAGTAGAAGAACAAAAAGTATATAAATACATATACATTATAAAATATAAATATAAGCATATTAAAAATTGGTGAGTGGGGGTGAGTCCAAGTTAGATAGATACAGTAGTTGTCTATCTAGCTAGCTAGCTAGCTACCGATATCTACAGATACCGATATCTAGATAGCTAGCTAGCTATCTACGTAGTTAATTAGCTACCTAGCTAAGTAGCTATCTATCAAGGCTACAATAAGACACAGAAATAAATGGCTTGTGAGACAAAGACAGCAAGTTGAGTTTAAACTAATCATACATCGGTCAGCTTTGGGTCCGTTAATCGCCTTCACTCATGATTCAGATTTTGAGCAAGCATGTCTCTGAGTATCCCAAGTAATGTGATCTTTAAAGACAAAAAATTTCCATTAAATGCAAGAAATTGGTAGTTTTTAAATTATTGACACAAGTGTGGATGAGAATAAGCTAGTGTGGGCAGAGTCTGCCTTGCTGTTATGAAATGTGGGACTGTACTTGAAAATGAAGAGGGAAGTGAGTCATTGTTCTATCAGTGTATGTTCCTGTTGTACTCAGGCCAACATAAGTGGCTTTCTTTTTATTTTTTTGGTGTCCAGAAATAGCTCGACAGTCACATAAATTCCTGTTTCAGATGACTCGTGTCCGTCAACTTGCTTTTGTTGTTGTTGTTGTGGTTTTGTTTTTTCATTTCAGCCATGCTCCCTCAACAGTTGTGAGCTGAAATTCACAACCTACATTGTTCAGGAAAAAATGCCAACATGTTTCCATGCTTTTTCTTGTGAAGGGTACCCGTGGTGGCAAAGAGGAATGTGATGATGGCAACAGAATTGAAAAAGAAACATAACAAATTGGAATGTGGTATGTATTGCGTGTTTCTGTCTCTTTGCATACAAACAAGCAGCATGCTTCCTTTAAATAATCAAAACAAATTGACCGCCAATTCCGACTCTGTTGAAATTTAGAGGCTGCACCGTATTTGTGAAGCAACAAGAACATAGCCGGAAGCTAAAGAAGCCACACTAAAGCCACGATAAAAATAATGTCTTGTACCCTATGCAGTTTTTTTACTGAGGAAACCTAAACCGTCCTGCTTGTAAGTCAAGCTTACAACCTTTTTGATGGAATAAGGTCGCAAACGTTGCTCTTCTGAATGATTGCAAATACAGTTAGATTTGCAATCACACAACATGTGTGACCAGAATGAAATATTGTACCTTTGAACTTGTCATTATCATTCATTACACTCGAGTAATGCTTCACATTGCTTCATTTAAAAGAAGCGTTTTCCTCACTGCAGTGACTGATCATTATCCTGCAGCAGTTGTGGTCTGGTATTACACTGATGAAGCATGATTTGCCCCTCACGGTATAAATCACTCAATTAGGTCTGTTTTTCCCAAAACTGAATAAATCTTGGGATACATTTGATGATGCCAGATGCAGATCAAGTTACAGCGCTTAAATCAATTATTGCAGCACTTTGGCGAAAAGGGGGAAAAGGGAGAAGAAAATATGTCGTTTTATGATGACGACAACCTCCATCTTGATGAGATAGATAAGCAGAACTTTTGAACCGCATTGCCTGTCAAAGAGGCGTTGAAGGATAGAATTGCGCAAGGTTTTTGATTGAATTGGTTTCTCAACGTGCATCTGATGACTTTAACCAAGCTTGCAATGCTACTAAGTCACCATGTTGAACCTTGAGGTAGCCAATAAGTCAAAATATGGAACACTCTCATTAACTCTTTGACAAGTGTTGCTTTTCACCAACACCAGCCCGGAATCTCTGCTTGGAGCACAGCTCAGCTGATATGACAGCATAATAATGTCAAGGACCAACATCTGTCTAAGTTTGATCATGGTAAAAGCTTGGCATAACAGTGTATTTTGGACGGCATCCACTTCCACATTTTCAACTTAAACAGAAAAAAAAAAAAAGATTTTGGCTTTGCGGGGTTCATAAACCATGCAGGCACAAACAGCTGTTTTGTGTTGCCCTCCATTTGCACTGAGTCGTATTAATCAGCTCTTGATTCACACTGGTGATTTATGTAACCATCCTGCATGGGACTGAAGGAGAAGAGAACACAAATAGATTGCAGACGCCAGCAGGGGTGTGAGTAATGTCCAACAGGCGGTGGTTTGCCAAAACGTGTTGCCACCACACCTTCACTTTATATCAACACCTTATCCAAGTCGACATCCAGGTGAAGTGACATGACATGAGTCTCTCCATTTAATTCTGACTTGCAGCCATTCATTTTCCATGGGTCATCCGATTCAGGGTCACGGGTGAGCTGGAGCCTATCCCATCTGAATTACCAGTCACCAGTCAATCACAGGACACAGGTCGACCAGCGACGATTCACAATTACATTGCTCCTGCAAATGAGAATTTCTAATCCACCCGACAAGCAAAAAACATGCAAACTCTGTGAAAAAGGTTCAAGCCAAGCTGTCGGATTCAGACTTTTGTTTGTGCTGTACATACAGGGGGGCGTACTCATCTTCGGATGGCAGTAAATAATGTAGATCAAGCCATAGCGCACCACAGTCTATCACTCACTAAGCTAAGGCAGCAGTAAAAAGTCATAATTTCTGTAAATATTTTGCTAAAAAAACATTTGGGCCATAAATATTAAAAAAAAAAAAATCTAATGAAAAAAGCAAATACAGCAGTAACTGAGCCATGTGACAGCGTATTTTTATGCCACTGCATAACCTCGAATCACTGCATTCAGTGGCATCATAATGCGAGGACCCTCTGTAACTTGTCGTGACTGCATCATCATTACCAAGATGCACTGCTTGAAACAAAAACACAGATGCTATCATCATCTTACAATGGATGCTGTGCCCGAGGAGTGGACAGTGCAGTAATTCACTTCGTAGTCTCCACTTGGCTGCAGCCATCTGTTTTCTCCCTGCCAATTATTCAATTATAATATATCATTCCCCTCTCAAATAAACCGTTTCTTATTTTCACTGCAAAATGAAAACTGGATATACGATGTATCACAGATGGGAGTAAGTCACATATGGGCAAATGACATGCAATGTAAGTCTCAAGTCTTAAAGAGAAACTAAACACAAGGGGGTCTTCTTTCATCTAGTGCAAAACGTTAGTTTTCTGTCTTTTGGTATTTTGCATTTGCGCCATTGTGGGAGTGAACACATTTGACTTGCTTTCCGGCTAATGGAAGCAGCTCCTCTGATTCGCTTTGAATCCAGCGCGAGAGAGGCGCACAGTCTACTTTGTGGAAGGAGAACTGACTCTTTGGGGTCCATGCAGGAGACAGATGTGTGCAAAGTACATTTATAAGGAACTGCAAGAAGATCTCCACTTGTGGATGATGTAAAGTAAAACACACTGACATGAACAATTGGAATGCAAGGCGCTCTCCAAGTACACGCTTTACAGCCGTGATCTGTTATTGCCCCGGCCAAGTTTACGTCAACCGCAAGTAGAGATTATGAATGTACTTTACTTCGATCTCCTGCCCTCTACTCCAGCCAAGTAGACCCTGCGCCTGTGCGGAATTGAAAAAGAATGAGAAGAGCCGCTTCCATTGTCCGGCAAACAAGTCGGCGATGTTCACGCCCACACCGGCGCAAATGCCCGTTTCTAAGCGTGCACTTCTACGAAAATACCAAATGAAAACTGTCTGGTGCAAAGTGCAGTCTAACCATGCAGTTAGACTTAGAAACGGGCATTTGCACTGGTGCAAAGTGCAGTCTAACTGCATGGTTAGACTGCACTTTGCACCAGATTTGCACTGGACATCAAAATGGGCCCCACTCCCTTATATTTTATAATGTGCATACATTTTCTATCATCTTTTGACTTAAATTACAAAGCTGTGACAGGGTCATGTTTGCCACTCTGTTACATCACCTTTTCTTTTAACAACTTTGCAATAAACGTTTGGGAACTGAGCAGGCGAACTGTTGAAGCTTTGTAGCTGGAAATTCTTTCCCGTTGTTGCTTGACATACAGCTTCAGCTGCTCAACAGTCCGGCGTCTCCGTTGTCATATTTTACGCTTAATTCTGCTAAATGACAAACAAGCCAACACGCCATCAGTCATCAAAACCTCTTGTAATAATTCCCGCACTGACCACTTGATCTTATGTGGTCTAAATCTAGCCTAGATCTGGTTTATACTGACACCTCAAAGAGCTTTGCCTCTTTCTTAAGCATCATTTATGGCTGACTATATCATAACAGTCGTAAACTATTTTATTCCCTCGGAGAAAGGAGTAAAAGTCTGCCGGTCTGGGAACGGCGACGCAACCAAACAATGTTTGAATGCACAAGACTGATGATGTGATTATGAGTATTTGACAGCGTACATAACCTCAGCCAAATAATACAGGTTCTCTCTGTATGTAAGACAAACCTCTAATTAAGTCGGATGGGATTGTGCAGTCGTGGGATTTGTTTTGGACTTTTCCTCAACCTGAAACATATGGAGCGCTATAATTTCTTGGCAGGCTTATGTGGCAAAGGCCTGACCTCTTCCTGTGGTTCTTTTGTTCTAAGAGGGGCCAGGAGGTATCGAGGGATTATGCTTATCATTGACACAGGATGCCAGCAGGAGTTCATGGTGCAAGAGGGGAAGTGACAGTGTGGCACTTGCTTGTTTTCATAGAGAATGAGGCGCTATTGTGACATACGGCTGTGCGAACCGGTGAAAACAGGAACACAAATGACGTCCCTGAGGATTATCAAGAGGTTTCTTCGCCGTAGCTGCATAACGTCAGGCCCTTCTCTTTTTTTTTTTTTTTTTTTTTTTTTTGTCTTTTTCGCTGCCTCACTCTGTCTGCAATCCGTAGCTGACCAAGACTTCACTGTGACGGTGCCATGACGCGCAAACGAGGGAGACTTCTCGTCATGTATTGGTTTCTGCTTGGGATGTGGTTCACAGGTCGGAGAGGTGATCATATCAGCGTGTCACAGGTGCATTTCCCCCCTGAGTAAATGTGGTTTTAACACGAGCGTCACGCAGCTTGAGTGCGTTGAAGGTCTCCGGGTAACAAACACATGACAGCTGCGAGCGAGAAGAGGGCATTGATCGTGACACAACTGAATCACTCTTGTTCCAGTATCAGTGCAAATTGTGAATACTGCAGAGACCACCATAGTCTAATTTTTTAAGCCTGTCCAAAGCAGAGAGTAATTCTCACCATCGCTTTGTGCAAGCTTAAGTTTGTGCAGTCTGCCATTGAGGCATCAAATCCACCAATCCCCTTGAGGCACTTAATCATGTGCAGCTTCCCCAACCGCCGCCATCACCCCAACCAATGCTGGTGTGTGTGAAAAGAGGCATGGGGGGGTTGAACTTTATCTTCCTTTTTCTGCAAGAAATGTTCAAGGTGAGCGCATGGTGAGAAAAGCAATGATGCCATAGCATCATATCAAAGTAGTTGCTTGACTAGCATTTACATTTAATCGTCAGTCCAGGGCGTGCGCAACCTCTTGGTCGACGTCAGCCAGGATAGGCCCCAGCTCACCTGGGACCATGATGAGGAGAAGTGGAACAACTTCTATGGATGTAATTTCTGGGCACAGCCTTGGAATAGAAGAGGTGTGGTTTGGTGGATAACGAAATTGGTGACAAAGGGCAGCTTTGGTAGACACCAACTGTAACTGGAAAAAATGTGACATACTGCCGGTAATGGAAGCCGAACAGCTGTTTTTTTTTGAGGGTCCTATACACAATAGGGCACAATATTTATTTATTTCATTATTATCATTGTTGTTATTATTTATTTATTATTTATTTTTGTTCACACACTTGGTGGTGAAAAAAATGCATAACATCTCCTTTAATAGTCAAATAAGGTGGAATCAAAATA